TACACCAAATACACCAAATAATGATCTTTAAAAAAGCATCATATGACCCCTTTAAATACTTATAAAATAAAATTTAAGATTAAATAAGATTATTGAGTTGTTATTATTAAGATGATTAATTATTCTTGTTATTTATAAAATAAAAAAGTCCATAATCTGCTGAAAGTCTTGTAAAATGATAAAAATGTCTATATTACTTTTTCACATGAATTAAAAAAAAATAATAATTAAAATTGTGAATATGAATAAAAAGATCAAATATTTGTATGTATTTTTTAATGTAATGTTTTAAAATTTTTGATGTATTTAAATTAAGTGTTCATTTAAGCATTTGTATGTATATTATATTATATTATATTATATTATATACATTATAAATTGTTTGTGTGTATCAGCATTATATCAGGCACTTATAGATATTATGTATCTATTAGTTATCAGCAATGGAATCATCCACTGGGAAAAAAATCCACTAATATATCAACAAATCATTTAGCAATAATTATCACAAAGTAAACAATTGTTGTCCTTTCTCTAAAGTAACCACGCATCTCTTTCTTATAAACTATATAATACATAATAATTATTACATTATATTATATTATATTTATATGTATTTTACATTATTTATGTCACTTGTGTCTATATTATTTATTCAAAAATCAAAAAAAAAAAAAAAAGAGGTTTTACTATCATTGTCAAGTTTTCACAGAGTATGTCAAAATGCAGTATGTGATGCTGCCTTGAGAGTGTTGTTAAAAAAAAAAGTACAGTTTGTTAGGGAGCAGCATAATCATGCTGCTTACTTTTTAAACAGCCTTCAAAGCATGCATATGATACACTACCTTAAAATGATGCTGACGGAGGCCGCTCACTAGGCTTTACAACAGCGCATCTGTTAGATAAGACATTCTTTAAGAGGTTATTTTGGACCTGCCTGCTAGTATCTTAGCACACTACCCTGATTTCAGACACTGGTAGCTGAGGACACAGCCTTTTCCTTGCCAAGTTCTCTGTCTGTGGACGAGAGAAAGAAACAGAGTCTGAGAACAAGAACAAACCACCCAGATCCCTCCAGACAGAGGGAGAGAGAGAGAGAGAGTGAGAAAGAGCCAGAACTTAACCTACTGACACAGTTGCACAGTGACGACAGTTTCCAGCGTCTCCAATCCCTGTCCTCGTGTCCCCTGGGCTGGATGGATTATGAGATCTTGCCTTGAGAAGATTCCATGTGGTCCTGAGGCATTACAAAGCCTTGAGTCTGTTTTTATTCTGGAGTGAATTCAGATTAGGGACAGTAGGTGAAGACGCTGTTTACACAAAACAAGATTTAGCCTAGAGACATCTCTTAAATGAGAGCTGCACTTTACTTTGCCAGACATACCGATTACAATAAGGTTCAGCAATCCTAACTGTAATAATGAGCAAGAGAATGTTCAGTAACACTTTACTTGAAACCTGCACTGGTTACACTTTATTTTAAGGTGTCCTTGTTACAGTGTAATTATACATTTAAGTACTGAGTAATATTAATTAACTACATGTACTTACTATATGGTTAGGTTTAGGATTAGGGTTTGGCTTAGGGTTACTTGCATGCAATTATGCATAATTAATTGTTATTATATTAGTAAGTACATGTAACGTGTAACAAGGAAACCTTAAAATAAAGTGTTACCGCCTGTGTATATAATGCATTATAAAAGTATTTTATTTACGCACCTCACAAACCACAGTTATGAAACATTCAAACTTACCTGTAGAAAGTATAATGTATTAAAACACATGATGAACAACCAATTGCACATGTAACAAGGAGTCAACAAAATTCAGATGCAAAAGCCTCAAAGTGCCATCTGAAATGTTGTTCTAAAATGAGCATTTTTCTCAGGCTCTCATGTGTAGGTTTAGTCATTTCACTTTAATGGTAATGAATATGTTTTTCCATATCTCTTCTGATAAATGTAATTAATCTCTGTATTTTTTTTTTCTCTCTTTTGGAAAAATGAAATGGAAATAGGGCAAATGTGAACACAAAAATGATTTTTTTTTTTTTTTGTTTGTTTTTTGTTTTTATTCACTACTGTAGAAGTTTTCCCAACTGAGAACACTTGAAATTAAAAAAAAAAAAAATGCAAATGAAATCCTACAGCAGAAAAGATTATTTTATAAGAGCTTTTTCTTTAACAATGATTTCTGGATATCTGTGTATCAGTGGTGCTATCAAGGTGAATGTGTGGCATTTGGGACGTGGCCGCAGAGCGTGGATGGAAGCTGGGGACCTTGGACCACATGGGGCGAGTGCAGTCGTACCTGCGGCGGCGGCGTCTCCTCTTCCATGCGACACTGTGACAGCCCAGCGTAAGTAGGCAAAGTAAGCCAGAACAAAACTGAACGGGTCCCTATTTAGTCCATCTCACTACAGTTCACACTTGTCTCATTTCTATGCACAAATCAAGACTGGACTGATAACACAACTTCATATTTCAATACTGTCTCTCGCAGTTATATCGTTGGGTAATTATACTGTATATAAAATGCGGGCATCATATTAATATGCGGGGCATTGAAACGGCATTCGAATGCACGATCGCTTTTTACTTTCACTTTCGAGATTTGCATTATTTGTTTTCCGTGCCTTTCTGAATACAGACACCAACCCATCCCTGCACATCACATCCCCTGCACAGCCTGGAACAAAACATTTATTTCCATGATCTGCCATTTTCGCTATTATCCTCGCTTGTTTCTTCACATACGCAAATATGCAAATGTTGGGGGCATAATTATTAGTGATCCCGACTGTAACGTCACAGTCGGTGTTATGTTCTGATTCGCCTATTTTTCAGTGGTCTTTTGCATGCACGAGATTTACATAAGGAGGAGGAAGCAATGGTGTTTGAGGCTCACGGTATGTCATTTCCATGTACAGAATTGTTATTATTCAACTATGCCAAGGTAAATACAGTTTTCCATTCTATGGCACCTTTAAGACATACTAGTAAGGTGCAGTCACATTTACTGGTGTTCAGCGATTTTGTTTGTTTACTTTTTTGTGGGCAAAATCCAGTCATTTTAATAGGAATTCATGCAATCTGGAATTTCCTGTGAGGGTGAAATATTTCCCAATTTAGCAATGGCTTCAAGTTAGTCATGTGAATTCGCTGTTGGCCAACAGAAACCCTCTTGGTTTGAAAGTGAATTCTGTGTGAATTGCTTCCTAAATCACTACGTTAATGAACCTTTTTTACCCATAAACCTTTGCAAATGTGTCTGCATTGTTAGGGTTCACTTGCAAATTAGTATGCATGCATCAACCCAAGTGTTGCAGGTTCAGGTACACTACCAGTCAAAGTTTGAAATAATTATGATCTTTATTGTTTCCAAAAGAAGTCTCTTATGCTTATCAAAGCTGGATATTGGATCAAAAGTACAGAAAAAAAAAACAGCAATATTGTGAAATATTATTACAATTGAAAAGAAATGTTTTCTATTTGAATATATTTTAAAATAGACTTTATAAGAACAGTTAATAATCATGGAGCATCAACAATAATTGGATAGGAAAAGGAGAAAATTCAGCTTTGCCTTCACAGAAATAAATTATATTTAAAAAAATGTTACAATTATTTTAAATTGTAATAATATTTGAAAATATTACTTTTATACTGTATTTTTGAACACATAAACACAGCCTTAGTGAGCATAAGAGACTTCTTTCAAAAACATTTAAAAAACATCTTAATTATTCCAAACTTTTAACTATATTTTAACTGCAGAAAAAAACATAGCACTCACAGGCACTGCATTAAAAATATTTGTAATATTTGAACTAAAATATTAAATGTTGAGATGATGAGAACACGAAGGCTTAGCAATCCCAGGCACTGTATTAAAAATGTTTTTATGGTTGTACAGTAGATACCCAAAAATGAAAATTGTCATCATTTACTCACCCTCATGTTGTTCCAAAACAGTATTAGTTACTTTCATGTATTGAACACAAAAGAAGTTGCTGATTTTCATAGTATTTCGTTTCATACTGTGGCAGTCAATGGCTATCAGCAACTGTTTCCTTACCAACATTCTTCAAAATATCTTCTTTTGTGTTCAACAGAAGAAAGAAACTCATACAAGTTTGGAACAACATGAGGGTGAGTAAATGATGACAGAAGTGTAATTTTTGGGTGCACTATGAAAACCTAAACTCAAGTTTGTCATGTCAACATAATAGATATTTGTTGATCTTGCCAGTTTTTCCAAAGATTTCATAGGTAGCCGCAGGAGCTCAAAATAGGTTTGGATGTAGATGGGAGTTTAGGTTTCATTCCTAAAAGTCTATCCTCGCGCTCTCGCTGCAGACAGTGGCGGGAGTGTGGCCTGTGTAATATGTAACACCTGTGTAAGATGATCGGCCCTTAAAACCTGGCTACTCGAGAGAAAGGAAACCCAAGCACTTCAAGCCAAGCTGCCCTGGAAAGCATTCATTGAGAGCGGGCCCTGAGAAAACAGCACAACCAGCTGCTCTCGGTGCCAGACGGCATGGGGGGAGGTGGAGGAAGACAGCCAGAATCACCTAAGCCTTGGCAAACCTCATTACGCTGCCCTCCTGGGTCAAAATAACCTGCGGAGAAATGGCCAAACAGCTCAGCTGTTCACTGAGAGAGACCTGAATGCATACATCATGTATTTATAAGACAATGAGAGAAAGTGCACACTGCCCTGCTGGTCATAACAACCTGAACAGATACTGGAGATCGGGAGCTCTCTGTCAAACAAACACAAATGGAAACTGCTTTTCATATTTGCTTGTGGCTTGAGGAGTTTTCTGAATGTCCATTTATGGAACTGAAGTCAACCTTGATAGAACACGTGGATACTCGAGGGGCTTATTAGGGGCCCGGTTATTAATTATGGGGATTATTGTTTATACAATTGGAAATCACTGGCCTGAGGGGCATCTTGCTCTTGAACAATGGAACTCCATGTAAGGCTGAAATTACACATTACATTTATATCTTTGATTTTAGCTTAAAGTTACTTTTAGTGATTCTACATTGCAGAGATTTTTTGCTTCTTAAATGACAGCGTCTGGATTACGTATATTTAAAGGTGATGTGCTTTTTGTGCTCCTGCTGGCATAGAGCGGAATTGCAAACATAAATATAGCTGCAAGCAGTGATGACAAGCTCTAGAAAAACTAATTTGTGAGAGCATGCATTTAAGTGCATAAATGTAATAGGACCTCTTCAAAGTCTATTTTGAGTGCCACACTTCCTGCTATCAGCTGGTGGCGCTATGACCGTGAACCACCATTGCCTCATTCATGTGATCAGCCACCATGAACACATGTACAGCCCCAATTTTATCTAAATCAGACAATGCACTTAGAAGATATGAGACTCTTTCAGTTTCCCGTTTTAATTTATACCCTTGTCATGGCAACACTGTATGAGATAGCAAAATATCAGCATCTCCAATGATAATTAATGTCTTAGATTCATCTTCATTGATTTAGCATGCTATTGACTAATGCAAATCACATGAATCCCTTGGAGGAGTATTTAGAAATTCAGAGCCCATGACTTTTCAAAAAATACACTTTAAATCCAAAATGGCCAGCTTACTGTTCGGCAGAGTTAATGACTGTTATCTTGAAAGAATTTTAAAAGAATATAAGTAAAACTGGAAAAAAGTGTGTGTGTGTGAATGTGAATGGGGGGGGCGGGGTGTTACGGCACTACAATATACAAGAATATATTTACGTTTTTTATATTTATGTTTCAAATAATTTGACAAATCAAAATTCTTTTGGTAAATTTTTGTAAGATGAGTCTCTAGATGATGCATAATTTAATAATACCAAATTTAATGTGAATTGAATAACCTAGGGGTAGAAAAACATGTTTGAAAAATTCCATATGGCAATTAATTATAATTGCATTATTGTAATTAATAATCCAATTAAATTACAGTGCCAACTTTGGACCATTTGTAGAATTATTGTTTACAAACAGGTTTCCCGAAAACTAGGGATGCAACGATACTGATACTGGTATCGGGCCCGATACTGAGCTCCTGTACTCGTTACCAAAAATAAAAGTATCGGTATCGGGCGAGTACTGGAAAAAGTGGTATCGGTGCATCCCTACCGAAAACTTCTACTGACCCTGCCCTTTTGATTTTTCACTTGTCGAACAAATTGATTAAAAAAAAAGAAAGAAAGATAATTGCGACCTATCTCACAATTTCATTTTTTTTTTCTTGTTTCTTTTTTTAGAATTGCGAGAGATTCTGAAAAACACACAATTCTGATAAGAAATTGTGACGTTAACTCGTATTTGCAATCTCATCGCAATGAGTTTGTCTCGCCATTCTGACTTTTTTCTCAGAATTACTAGAAAACAAGAGAATTGTGAGATATAATGCCAGAAGTGCAAGAAAAAAGTCAGAGGGTGAGAATTAAGCGTTCATATATTTCAGATAGCCCCGCCCCAAACTCACGTCATTGGTTCAGACAGTGTTGGGGAAATGTTAATGTATTTTTTTTTAACACACATTGGCTTTAAACTGATCTGAGACCAGAAAAGAAGAGCAAAGTCAGCCCAGATCTGAAAGATGGCTATATTTGTGTGATCTGACGACCTGATCTGATCTTTTGAACACTAAACTTCTTCAGACGACCTGGAAGTATGTGTTTGCGTGTGAGTGACGGGCGTGTTGAGATTGAGTTTACTGGACCATTTGCCCTGCTCTGCTAAAGCAAATGCAGTACAGATGCTGCCCAGTGTTGACTGGAATGGCGTGTTGATGCATTTTTACTTCGATTCCCTCTCTCTCATGATGGTACCTCATGAGCCTTTTTTTATTCCTACTCTTTCAGGCCGACAGGCGGAGGGAAGTACTGCCTCGGAGAGAGGAAGCGCTACAGATCGTGTAACACTGACGTGAGTTACAGCTCTTAGTTTTTCTTTGTCAGCAGAATTATTTAGATTTTTTGTTTAACATTTAAAAGCACCTAGTATTGTTTATATTATTACACTTTAAAATAACTGTTTTCTATACAATATGTATTTCTATGCAATACAATTCTATACAATAAAACAGTTAGTTTAAATTTATTTTCAACTGTAATTTACTCCAGTCTTCAATGTTGCATGGCTTCCCGTTTCAAAGGAAATACATCAGCACAGGACTTTATGGGGCCTTTAAGGTGAAAATTGAGCTTGTTAGGCAGCCTTTCTACCACAAATCTTAAAAATAACAGTTAAGCACAAGCAGCGAATGTGTACTTTGGAAAACAAACAGCACCCCCAAGCACTGAAAATGAACGTGTGTTGTCCAACACAAACGTGTTGTGGATATGCACTATTGGTGACATCCGATCAGATTCTGGGGGCTTTTGACAGCAGCCCGGCTCTGGTTCGGTGCTTATTAAACAACGAACCCATCACAGATATAATGTAATTAGTTCTTTGACCTTCTGGAATCCAAATGAAGCTTTTGAAGGGGACAACCAAGGGTTGAGGACCACTCTCTGGCGTGTTTATGTGGGGCATTCCAGCGTCTGGATTTATTATGGCTGTGGCTTTGAAATTATTAAGTCATTGAGGATACGGCCCCCCTGTGGCTCTGGTTCCAGCCACGGCCATTGTTCAGTACTAAGCAAAGGTCTGCTATCATTTGTTTTACTTCTCAAAACAATGAGCTAATCCGCACCCCTTCACTCACTGCAGACTCCATGATCCGCCAGTTTACATGCTGACTAGGGTTAATAACAATGCTGCCATGGAAAGAGGCCAAGTTGAGTCGCATATTAAAGTTTAATTGGATTTAGGGCAATAATGTTTAAATAACATTGAGAGTTCATTACACAATGCATGTTTTACATACATTTTTCAGAGAAGGGATTTTTTTTTTATTACAAGAGGCTAATGTGATCATTTGTATTCACAAATGAGTCAATTCCGTCAAAAGTATGTTTTTATAATTTTTTTTTTATTTATATTTGACTTTTATTACCCATTTCCTAGTAAGTTTTTAAAATTAAATCTAAATATAGATTTAGATATATATTTTTTACAAGTTTTTACAGATTTAACCTTTAAAAAAAGAAAAAAAATCGAATAAAAAATATATTTTATATATTTTTGTTTAATCAAATATATTTTTTAAGTTTTATTATTTTAAACATTTATTACTTTTTTAAATAAAATATTATATGTATATGTAAAAACTTGTTATCCAAGTGTAAGCAATATCCAAGTGTTTGAATGCCTCAGTGAGCACAGTTGGTTTCTGTTAGCATCAAAATTTCTGAAACTGCCATGAAAATATTGTTAATTAAAACTCAGAAGATTGAGACCTGTGAGAGACGTCACGCAGAAGACAATGAGAAGTTTGAAGGAGTTGAAAATGGAGTAGAGGTGCACCGGTCAACCATATCAAGAGCTCTGCACAACATCGACCTGTGTGGGATTGTGGTACAAAAATAACCATTACTTAAAATGAACCTTGTGCAACCATGTCTGGAGATTGCCATAGAGTATTATATCAACCAATGGAGAAGAAGATCATGTGGTGAAATGAGACCATCAGAGTTTTTAGATTTTTAATCTAGTTTTTAGATTACACAAAATTAAATGTAATATGTCTGACTCTAGTGCCCAAATAAGACTGGCCACCTCAAAAAACTACATTACCGACACTCTTAAAAATAAAGACTCCTAATCAGCATCTGTGGTTGCATGAAGAACCTTTAAAGGGTTAGTTCACCCAAAAATGAAAATGATGTCATTAATTACTCGTTCCAAACCCGTAAGACCTCCGTTCATCTTTGGAACACAAATTAAGATATTTTTTATGAATTCTGAGAGCTCTCTGATCCTCCCATAGACCGCAAGGGTCCTTACACGATCAAGGTCCAGAAACGTAGCAAGGAGATCGGTAAAATAATCCATGTGACATCAGGGGTTCAACCGTAATATTACGAAGCTACGAGAATACTTTTTGTGCGCAAAAGAAAATAAAAAAATTCTCGTAGCTTTAAATTCTACAAAAGGTTCTTTAGAGTAGAAAAAAGTTTTTTTTAAGAACTGTTCACTGAAAGATTCTTTGTGGAACCCAAAATGTTTCATCTGACGGCTGGGAATCTGTGACACTATTTAATATTGTTCAGTGTAAGATAAAATGAAAGTATTATAAATACTCTATAAGTTAATATAATATAAATGAGGGTACCATCTGAATGTTTTTACAAGGCCTCAATTCGCCGCCAATTATTTTATTGTTTGATCGCAGGCTTGTCCAGCAGGATCACGTGACTTTAGGGAGAAGCAGTGCGCCGATTTTGACAACATGCCTTTCCGTGGGAAGTACTACAACTGGAAGCCGTACACTGGAGGTAAGTTCCCTGCCCAGCACCCAGAGCGATGGGCTTCAGAGGGAGCCGCTCTCTCCCACAGCCTTCCCAAAGTCTGGGCTTCAGTGACAGTATACATACTGGCTTGCTTTGTGTACCCTGCTAACACCAACACTGTGAAAGTCTCTTTGATGGGCTGAAAATTCTTCAGATTCCAGCTAGAACACCATGTATCGCTAGTCTGTGTGTGTGTGTGTGTGTGTGTGTGTGTGTGTGTGTGTGTGTAAGACTGTGTATGTACACAGGTTTCTCAGAGAGATCAGATCTGCAAATTAAAGTGTGACAATTAGGCCTGTCAATGTAATGCAATAGTCCACCCAAAAATGACAATTCTGTCATCATTTACTCACTGTCATGTCATTCCAAACCTGTATGACTTCTGTGGCACATAAACGTAGTTATTTGGGGGTGTTATTTGGTACTTACTTTATGTATGCATGTATGTATGTATGTATGTATGTATGTATGACTGATTGATTGATTGATTGATTGAAATACAGCAAAAGTCAATGGAGTCTAATGTTGTTTTGGACCCCACTGACTTCACTGTATGGACCAAAACTGAAAAGAAGAAAGAAAGAAAGTCATACTGGTTTGTGTGAACGATCATTTATTGCAACTTATTACTAAAAAAATTACTTAAAAATAGCAAATATAAAAAAATAATTTATATTAGTAATTTTACACAAACAAGAGTGTAATATTGTTTTAATATCATATATATGATATAACAGCATGATTCATTATTTGAATGTTTATATAAATGTATATATTTATTATATGTATATACTTATATATAGGTGTATATATAATATGTATAATAATAATAAATATTATATATATATATATATATATACAGCATGTTTAATTAATATTTACCTTTTTATATTTATTATTTGCTATTTATTGTTATTATTATTTGAATGTTTAGTATTTGCTTTTTATATTTATTATTTTATTTCATAAAAATAGTAATAGTAAGTTCATAGCAAAATAAAACAAGTAATAAATAGATGACTTTTTTTAATTGTTCATTCAATGCTTTCGTCTGCTCTATGTAATGTTTACAGATGATCTTCACTTGGGAGCTTTTCTCATTATTTCATAAAAATAGTAATAGTAAGTTCATAGCAAAATAAAACAAGTAATAAATAGATGACTTTTTTTAATTGTTCATTCAATGCTTTCGTCTGCTCTATGTAATGTTTACAGATGATCTTCACTTGGGAGTTTTCTCAGAAAATTATTGTGATTCATTTACTTTATCAGCATATAATTTAATTAAATGAATAACAGTGAAAATCAAACACTACCACTACCTCCTTTGTCTGATGCGTTTTCAGACTGCTTTAACAAAAAAGTGCAGCCGGAAAGCCAGAGGGAAGGGTGCATTTCTTGTTTACAACAAAATGGCCGAACCCAATAAACAAAGAAAAACTGCAAGAGATCGAGAGGCATTTCCAAAACATTCTGACAGGAAGTTCACAGTCGACTCAATCATCTCCTTATCTCGCTGCCCTGTAATAAGCATGATCATTACCAATTGTTTGGCTCTTAAAATTCATTTTGGAGGTGAACTTCGCTTGTAAAGTCTGCGATAACCTTTGTGGATGTCTCCATGATTTTTGTTGGCAGCTCTGTTAATCTCTCCCCGTGTCTTTGCAGTAATGATGTCAGGCAAAACGTTCAGATTCCACTATGAGTAATGCCTCTCTTGTGCTCGAGTGCTTTGACTGGATTGTTAATATCAACAAAGGCATAAAAGAAAACCGTGGGCCCCGTCTGAGAGCCCTGGCTCGAGACAGTTGCAAGAAAAGCAGTCTGCGAATCACTTATCAATGCACTGGTGAGGCGAGAGATTGACTGTTATTCCGTACAGATTTTCGGTTTATCACATGACATAAATCGTGGCCGCCTCTTTGACACTGCTGGGCCGCGAAGGAGTTCTTGAGGACCTTGGGACACATCAATAACCTGAAAAAAGGTTCCAGTGGTGTTCAAGAGAGTGACATCAGTTGATTGACGATAAACTCGCTGTGTTTCTCAGGTGGAGTGAAACCGTGTGCGTTGAACTGTCTGGCTGAGGGCTACAACTTCTACACCGAACGTTCGCCTGCCGTCATCGACGGCACGCGCTGCCAGGCCGACTCGCTGGACATATGCATCAATGGAGAGTGCAAGGTGAGTCTACAGCTCAAATCTCACTTGCAGTGCCTGAAGAAAATCTGAAAATGTACTGTAGTAAGTACCATGCCATTTTATAGTGCTTAAAAGCCACATCCCAATTCCCAAATGCATTCAACTCACTCAAGACACGAGTGAGGTACAGTAGTTTTGAGATGTAAATTACATCTTGATGTCTTAAACACCCTTGTTATATACTGTTTGGCATGTTAGCATTAGCATCTAGCTAAAGTTCTTGCATATCATTACCTAAAAACCTGAAAATGAAATTTGTGGTAGGTATGGCCTTTTGTACCTCAGCATTTTGTTAACAACTGGAAAAAATGAAAGGAGAATAGAGACAAAAGCATGCAATGGTGGGTAAAGCATGCAAGATCTGCTACAAGTATTATATTATCAGGCCACACACTATGGTTGAGTTCAGAATGGAGTTCTAGCGTACTGCACACTGTGCATTATACACTGAATGCTACTATTTAAGGCAGGACACTACAGGCAAAAACATTGTTTTATCATGCACAGGTCTATTTTGAGATTTTGGGGGTTTTTTTGCTTCCATAACGTGGAATTAAATCATCTAAAATATGCTTTTAAGCATTTATTGCATTACAATGTAATTGCATCATAAAATTATTTGTGTAATTTTCTTAAAGTGAGTATTTTCTTGTGCACTGAGCCAGAAATGTCCACTTCAGCAGCACTTACAAGCAACAAACTTGTCTATATTCTGAAGGGTTTTTCAGGGGGGTTGTTCATTTTTCTTTTGCCTGATTTATAACATTTTATGCCTGAAAATATGGTGAAAATGTATTTTTTTCTGGCTATTCACAGTATTTTCTTTGTGATAAAAAGAGAAATCCAAAATCTCCTTGTAAAAATTTTAACTCTAATATGACAACAGACTGAAAGAAGAATTTTGGCTTTTTCCAATATTCAGATTTTCATTCTGGAAATGTATGTAAATTAGTGCATCTTTAGATATTAGTTCATGTCTGATTTGAATATTTAAACTTATCAAAACGGTTGTCTTCATGTATTGTGATACCTCTTTTTCACCATATTCACCTATAGTGCCTTAAAAGATAGTATGTGAAATAGAACATGTTGCCAAGAGAAATATTTCAAGAAGTAGTGCTCTACATTGTTGTCACATGACATTTTATTTACTTTATTTACTTGGTTGTTAGAAACTAAAAATAAGCATTCTTGGTAGCATAAGCACTACCAATGTCATAAGTTTGATTCCCAGTGAATAACTGATAAGTGATTTGCTATAAAAGCATCTGCCAAATCCATAAATGTAATGTAAAAATGTGCAGAGTGGCTTGTTTCTACTATATTTCAAAGATTTCTGTTTTTATGTGGTCCTTGTGGTCTAAAATGTTGCATTATCTTTGTTTATCAGACACTAAGGGTCTCAGATGGACAGTCTACAGAATGTAGCCAATCACTAACACAGAACAATGAAGCCTAAATAAAGGCTGGTGTTGAAGGGGCTGAACCTCTTATCAGGACAGTACAGTTTGGAACCGAATTGTGTTTTCCCAAGTTAGTTAGAAAGGCGGGTGAGCCGCTGGAGAGTGATATTTAATTCACTTACAATATCATTTGTGTAACAAACCAAATTGACGTAATAGTGCTACGCTTTGTTTATTTTAGGGTTAAAATGGATTGCACTGTGTAGAAGAGATTTTGTCTACAGTTCGGTATTTGTTAGTCTCACACATTGTTGTCCGCGTCCTTGATTAATGTGGTTTAAGATACTATTTTAATTGATCCCCAAGGTTTCCTCTTTGATCTGATCTGGAGCGATGAAATGCACACAATGTTCTTTTAAACTCAAAGGAATCGATGTTACGTGCTGCACCCAACAACCTCTCGGTTTAATAATAATGCAAGTAAAGGCATGCATGGGGGTTGCAGAGGGAATATCCAAAACAGTAATCAATCTTATGTCTAGTCCAGTCAGTGATTCACAGCTGGTCAGTCAAAACCCAAAAATGGGTCACCTGTCTTTTCTGAGCAGGGAGAAAACAATGTTAAATTCAGTTAATAAAATGCAACTAACCACCCTAGTGAAAAATAAATATAGTAACTAAATATTTATTTCATGCTAAGTATACTACAAATATATTTACATATTTATGTCCTTATTAAAAATACCCTGCAATTGTACTTTTAGTATATTAAACTATACTAAAATTAATTGTGCGGAAGTAGCGCTGAAGTCCAACTAAAGATACAATGAAGTATATTTGATTGTGCTACATTGGAACTATTGCAAGTATACTTCAGGTTCACTTTAAATATCTTGCATTTAAAGACCGATATTATTCAAAGATCATACAGTCATTATTCATAGTGACATTAAAACACATTTTAGGCTTAATATTAAGAAATACGCATTGTGCGCATTGATACTCCAAATAAAGTTTAATTATCATTTTTATATCAGTAAGTCTTGAGCGATATGTCGGTAAATATGATAATAGATTACTATAGAACTATATAATATAATAGGACTATCCTTAGTATGAAATAAATGTATTTTAAATATATTATTTTTTACTAGGACATATAATCGTGTATAAATGGGAAAAAAAGGTGTAGGATTTATTGTACTTTGAAACAGTTTCTAAATTTCACAAATAATTACAAAAACACATTGAAGAATTTCTGCATGAACACAAATCATAATATTATAATGTGCAATGTGAAAAATCTTCAAAAATTATCATATTGATATTTGCTAAAGATGACATTTAACTTGTGTCTTAAATTAGCAGTGTTTTTTACGTAAGCATTGGATGAAGGTAACCAAAATCAAGCATGCACAAGTAATTATCCCATATCAACTGATACTAATAATTAAAATACATATAGATATCTACAATATCGGCGGTAAACCAGTATGGTACTAATTTAGTGCATATTGCCATTTTTGTACATCAAAGGTTGTGTGTCCAGTCAGGCTCAATGGTATTTTGGCACAAATTCACCTGTAATTTGGTAGAAGCCAGTCAAGTTAGACAAATGCCAACATGGACAGGTTGCGTGACATGCCCTCATGAACAAAACCATGCAAGATGAAAGAAAATTTGACACAACATGAATAAACATGGTTTGTGCCGACCACAATGTGTTTTGTGTGGTGAATTATTGGCTGCCGAGAGCATAAAACCAACAAAATTCAATTGACATTTAGAAACAAAACACTAGAAATATAAATACTGTTACTCATGCTTCTGCTATTGTTTATGCACTTACAAAAATGTCAATTTTCATAATCAGCCTGTCATATCAACAAATTTCAATGTTTGATTTATAGGACATTTTTATTTAATTTTGTACAATGCTGTAAATAATTTTGTTACTGTGCTGATGTCCAGTGTAAAATCACGGTCCTGAAGCAAAACCAGAACCATTCATCTTTTCATGTCATATTCTGACTCAATACAGCTGTGTGAATGACATGTTTTTCTTTGAATCAGACAGTCACGGTCTGAGAACGCCTCGACCGTGTTCCCCTGCACTGAAACACTCTGCCCTGTGTGTCTTTCCAGCATGTTGGCTGTGATAACATCCTGGGCTCGGATGCCAAGGAGGACAGATGCCGTGTCTGCGGAGGGGACGGCAGTACGTGTGAGGTCACCGAAGGACTGTTCAATGATTCGCTGCCCAGAGGAGGTCAGGAGGTCACTGATTGTACACTCATCGTCAATAACACATATTCAATATCTTACCATTTCACCATTTCGTATGAGCTATTATGCATTGCCATGAGAATGTGTTAGACAGCCTACTAGGTAAGTACTGTAGTGTAAAACAAATACTGGAAGGTTTGATCACAGGCCGCATTGAACCATGAACTGGAGTGTTACTAAAGGCCCCCATATACCTCAGGCGAAATCGAAGAATGAATTGGTGTGATGCAAAATCAGGCCAAACCGAAGTTCGTTTGGAGTTTGTTTCTGTACTTGGAAACAGCTTGCCAAAGCAAACTTTCCAGAAAAGTTTGCTCCGGCTGGTAAACACGTTTGAACTACCATGGATCCGTAGCAATTACGCAATAGGTAGGTGTGGTCCACCTTGACGTGGAATGCCAGGTTTTTAACTTTGTTTTTGACATTGTTCATCTACTGTCCTCAGACGTTATATGTACATGTATTTGCATTGGTATGACAATTCTCTGTAGATCCCACATTCTTGCATGCCACGATTGGTCGATTCTATACAATGCCTGCACGCTATCAGTCAGACTGCTTTTCAGCAAGCATGAAAACATTTGAAAACCCTGGACATTTCACGTAATTTACAAATTCTGGCCAGGGCATGTCTGGGGAAAAAAAACACATATGGTCATGCTGCTTAAAAGCAATATATTGTATAATGTGCTGTATAAATCAATGTGATGTACAACCATCCACATCACAATGATCAGACGCTTTCTTAACTGCTGTTTCTCACCGCTGTGTTTTTTGTTGTGTGTTTATTTTGTGATTGAGAACAAAGTGCACAGAACAGACTTGCATAAGTTACATAATCAGATTACTTTTTTTTCCAAGTAACTAGTGAAGTAACATATTACTTTTAAATTTACAACTAGATATCTGAGTTACTTTTTCAGATAAGTAGTGCAAGTTACTTTGTTTCCCATTTTTTGTAAAGAGAAACTGGGAGTTAGGTGTAGAGCCACTTCCTAATTAATTTCACTTTTGGTGTGAAATGGCCTTTACAGTTGCCAAAAATATAATTGAGAACAAAGTGCACAGAACAGACTTGCATAAGTTACATAATCAGATTACTTTTTTTTCCAAGTAACTAGTGAAGTAACATATTACTTTTAAATTTACAACTAGATATCTGAGTTACTTTTTCAGATAAGTAGTGCAAGTTACTTTGTTTCCCATTTTTTGTAGAGAGAAACTGGGAGTTAGGTGTAGAGCCACTTCCTAATTAATTTCACTTTTGGGGTGAAATGGCCTTTACAGTTGCCAAAAATATAGCTTTTGGGTTATTTAAAAACAAATAAGCGAGCCCAGCCCAGGTGACAAAAAGTAACGTAATGCATTTAGCTACTTTTTGTGGAGTAATTCAATATTGTAATGCATTACTTTTAAAAGTAACTTTCCCGGTAACACTTTAGTATAGGGACCAATTCTCACTATTTACTAGTTGCTTATTAGCATGCCTATTATTAACATATTGGCTGTTTATTAGTACTTATAAAGCACATATTCTGCATCCCCAATCCTACCCAATACCTAAATTTAACAACTACCTTACTAACTATTAATAAGCAGCAAATTAGGAGTTTATTGAGGCAAAAGTTGTAGGTAATGGATTGTTAATAGCAAGAATTGGACCTTAAAATAAAGTGTGACCATTTTCTTCAACACTGGCAGCACTTATTTACATATTTTGGCATCAGGGTGTTCATTAACTTTAAACCGCTGCTTATGTGCATGGCAAACTTCTTTTTACCCCTAAGTGAAGAACGAAAAATAACTCTATCTTAAGTATATCAGGGTCTTAAGATGTCCTGTCACCACTGGGCTTCGAGCGTACATCTAGGGCAACTGTCCCTACAGTCAGTGTCCATATTGCGTTGAATATCTGACATTTCTGAAGCTGTAAAATGATCGTAAAATACAATGTGGTGAAATCCACAAGCCACTGCTGAGCTGTATGAAAGAAGAGGAGCACCACGACCCATCTCCCCCTTCAGAATCCCATTCCAGAGAGCGTGCCGCATGCTTGCCAAACGCGACAAGTTTTTAATTGCTTTCCACTAGAGAAATCCCACTTGAAGAAAGCACAGCACAAGCGAGCGGAGGAACGCATTGTCTTTTTGGCAGTGGCTCTTGTCAGGGGGCCAACGGGGTGCTTTGGCCAAGCTCGACATTTTTCATGGGAATGCAGTGGTTTTTTTTTCATCAGACAACCAATGATAAAGCTTTTGTTTTTGGGTCAAGAAACAAGTTGTCAAAATAGAAGTGGTAACACAATATACGAGTATTAATTGCATCATCCAGTGAGAGAATCAATAAAACTTGTAATATTGCACACGTTGTCGGGCTGCATCCAAAAGTATTCCCTGTAGTAAGGGACTGTTTTCTCCTTTTAAGGTATAGCTGGTAAATCATCTGAAACTTTAAAGGGGAGTTAAGGGTACGGTGTAGATTCTTCCCTTCTAATGAATTTGCTGTTGCTAAGTTAGTTAGATTTTCTTTGAACATGCTGGGATTCTGTTCAAATAGTTTACAAGAAACACTAGATGCAACTAATAAGAATGAGTCATTAAGGTTTAAAGACGGGTTACAAATGAAGATGTTCTCGGAAGTAAAAATGCATGAAAAAGTTTCAAACAAAACTTTTGATTTTCTTTTTGGAATTACAGAGTTATGATTAGGAAACTACACAACTTAAATACAAAATGTTTTCGAAAGCTTGTGGTTAGATACTTAAAAAACAGTGTAAGATGTGACACTGAATGTGCATGCTGTAGTATAGGTGCTTTACTCTCACAGAATGCTAATGCTAATTGAAGCAGAGCATGCTAATTTAAGTGACACTAAAAATATAACAACTAAATACATATCTTGGGCTGACTAGTTGATTAGGTGACCATCATGACCTAAATATAATGGCATATAATGGTTTGTGGCACTCATGATGCTAAAATCATGCTGCTAAAACAAGACATACATGTATGTGCATTTACTACTAATTGTGCTGTTATATGAGCGACATTCAACTTTTGCTTCATTTTCTAAACCAAATTGTGCATTTTGTAGGTTATATGGAGGTTGTCCAGATACCAAAAGGATCGGTTCATATTGAAATCAGGGAAGTGGCCGTGTCAAAAAACTACATCGGTGAGTGTTTGTATTTATCTTCTTGAAGCTTTGTTCATGAAGCCATACTGGGTAGAAAAGTGGTGAAATGGTTTGTTTTAGGCTTTGTTGTGGGTGTAAATCTGGATCAATCTGACAGCCATCCTCACTCTCATGTCTTATATTTGTTCATTGTCTTGATTTTGCCTTTTGTCTTTTCCCAACCGCAAGCTGAGTAAAACCATCATGGTTCTCAGCCATGTAACTAATTAAAACAATCAAACAAGCGGGTCCAATTAAGTTGTTTTGAGTGCAAACATAAATATAGCTAGTGTGTATGACAGCTTGTTGGGTTTTGTTGTCTATCATGTTGATGTAGAGGTTTTTCTCGCCGTTTGAAAGGAAGATAAGTTGTCTGATGTTCTAGCACAGCGGTGGCCAACGTTAGCGCCAAAGGGCTTGCGAGCAACGTTTTTAAGAAAATTGTAAAACACATTTAATCTCCTTCAGACGTTCACATGCATGCCACATTTGTCAAATATAAACACATGGCCCTGTTTAAAGTGAGAATCTTTTGAAATGGCCTCGAGATCCCTAATGTCTGACAAATATTTGGCTAATAATGAAAGCAAGCTTTCAGAACTGGTTCATTTGATGTTTAACATCAGTCAGTTCTTTTCATTTCTACCTGAAACAACTGTCTTCTTATCTTTGGTTGGTTTTGCCCAATGTGTCATATAACTGATAGTTTGAGGGCATACAGTTCTATTATTTTCAGTTATTTCAGTTCAAAGAAGAGGTTTTGAAGAACTCTTTCACGTATGGTGAATGCTTATGCATTCATATCAAAACATGCCATGTCACTTTTAGTTAAAAGATTTGCAAGAACCAATTGCCATTTGGTATCATCGATAACTTACCCTGTTATGACACATCTTGACACACTATGTTTAAAAATGTGAATCTTTTTTAGCTATTAAATTTGACTTAAATGTGTCTTTTCAGTCACTCATGTACAAATCATACTATTTTTATATAGCTTTTTTGTCCCTTTTAGAGCTAGTCACTACTTTCATGCATGGAAAAGATCAGTTTAAACATTCTGCCAAATTTCTTCTTTATTGTTCTATGGGAAAAATAAATTCATACTCGTCATTTATACTAAGCTACTACTAAATATCGTAGAAACTTCATTTGCTGTAAAGTTGCTTTGCAATGATTTGTATCGCGAAAAGCACTGTACAAATAAACTTGAATTGAATTTTCTTTTTATTTAATTCACAAATGATAGTGTGCTATCGATTTGAATACTTTAGCCAAATATTAGTACCGAGATAATATTTGGCTATTTGGAGCTGCCCAATGTGTAATAAAACATCCTAATCTTCAGTGTTAGTGTTTCCATTTGAAAGATTTATTAAAAGTACCATTCATTTCTTTGTTTGAAAAATACTTGGAGTACCTTTAAGAAAAATAAATGGTGTCTTTTTGAGCTGGAGTGAGTAAAAAAACATCTGGATTGTTCTTCTACAATTTGGCCCCATCTGAATCAAGACAAGAGTGAATATTTTGAGGTGTGTTATGCTTTGAGATGAGATCTTTGTTTTGACAACTGAGCAGTTACGGGATTTGTAAGGAAGGCAGACTTTCACCTGAACTTGGTAAGCTAGATCTACAAGCTGCACAGCGTCTGAAAGCGAGAGTGAAAATTGCCCTTGACATCAGGAAGCCTGAGCTCCTCTGTAAGACGATGCTCATCATGTTGATGAATGACAGCGATGACGTCACTCTCTCTGCTTGGCAGCATCTCGCTCGTGTCGGGTTATTAACTGGAGCTCTCGCTTGTCACAGCTTTGAAATCGGAGGAGGATGACTATTACATCAACGGAGCCTGGACCATCGACTGGCCCCGCAAATTTGACATCGCAGGAACAGCCTTCCATTACAAGAGGCTGACTGATGAACCCGAGTCGCTTGAAGCTTTAGGGGCCACCATTGAAAATTTGGTGGTTATGGTGAGTCGAATTGTATTTACTATGAAGGACACAGTAGTGTTTTTAGTGCTAGTGTTTTAGAAGTATATGTTGGATATGTGGCCTGGCAGGTCGTTCACATGCTCAACACTATGTAGGAAGAACACTTATGTGGGAAACCTGAGTTTGCATGTAGTAGTGAGTAGTGTATGTCCACTTTCTCTCTTCTACCTGTTTTTTTTTCCTGTCACTTCTCCACTTTCCTTTCAGTAAAAGTAACAAAAGTAATTAGTGACCTCATTAAATTTTTATGCAAAATACATTTTATGTCATGGCTAGTGTTTTACAAATACATTCACTGCACAGTTACTGAATTTGTATGACAATTTTACTTGTTTGTTAAAAAGCTAGTTTAAAAGGCTCACGAAATTGTATATTTTATAAAACATTTAATGGCTAGTGTTTTAAAACATGTAAAGTTGTTTGAAAGTTCATAACGTAATTATGCAAAATTGTTTGTTTAATCAGTTATTACATGTTAAAATGTAGAGTTTTTGAAAGTATATACTGTAGCAGTTATTTGACAATGTTTTAGTACTTATTAGTTATCTACAGTTTTAATGTTTTAGTAAAATTGTATTTTTTACATTACGGATGGTGTTACAACACAAAGTTATTTGAAAGTACATAACGTAAATAATCCAGCAATGTTTGATTAATCACTTATTAGTTGTTAAAACATGCAAAGTTAATTACTGTTGTTATTAGTTATCTAAAGTTTTTTGTAAAATATATTTTTACGTAATGGTTAGTGTTTTAAAACACAACGTTTGTAATTAACAAGTATTCAAAAATTGTTTGCTTGATCAGTTATTAGTTAAATCCCCTACATAACGAAATTATTTGTGACAGTGTTTGTTTAGTTAAAGTTGTTTGAAAACACATAATGCAATTGTTTAATTAGTTATTAATAATCTAGAGTTTAAAATGTTTACATTTTGGCTAAAGTTTTAAAAAAATATATGTAAAATCATTTAAGTACATAATCATATTTGTTTAAGAAGACTATTAAGAAGCTATTTCACTAAAGGTTTTACATAAAACACATTTTATGAGTTGCGTTTCATATGCAATATTCAAACATGTAACATGGCAACATTTGTATGTTTAATTATCGAGTTTAATGTGTCTCTGTAAAATTTTTACATGAAGCATATTTCGTGCTATGGAAATTTTTAAAATACATAACATAATTTACAAGTACAGAATGCAATGATATGTGTGACTGTTTTTAATTATATTAAAACGTTTTTTTATTTTATTTAATTTAATTAAATGTTTTACATAATTGGACACAATTTACATTCTAGCTGCAACATAAAAATTATTTATTTAAAAATTAAGTCTATAGTTAAATACAATTTCAAATTGGTGTAGGCTTTTACACAACTATTCAGGCCTTACCCTTGAATTATTGTCAGACTATAAAATCTCACATAGTCAAGTTGTCTTATAGTAAAGTCACAGTAGTGATACTGTAGAGGCTTGTGTTCTGAATGTGCAGTTTGAAACGGCTTGGCTCATTCTAAATAAAGTCCACATCTGTGTACAAACCTCACATGAACTCTGGCTAGCGGTCTCAGAGTTAACCGTTATATATGTCTGCACTAAAAACCTCTGTCTGGCCAAATGAGAGTGCTCATGTGCACATGCTTTAGCACGCGTGTGTGTGTTCATTCTGAAAAGCCCCGTCTCGGCAACCACAATGGCTTTCGCCTGGACAAAAGTGCTGGAAATACCAGGCCTGGTCGTAGCACCGCTGGAAAACATACAAGTGGCTAGTGCACCGCAAGCCATTCCATTGTGGCCCACACTGGTTAACATGGCTTTCCAATTTATAACACACACACAATTACAGCTCTCTGACTAAGTAATTCAGGAGTAAAGCTGATGTGATATGCTAAATATCTGCTCGTTCAAGCTGAACTGAGGTTGGGCTCATCCAAAAAATCTCCCCTTCTTAATGATTTGATTGCTCTGTTTCATGCATTTTTAAGACCTCAGTATTTGTCTTTCTGTCACCCATCCAAGACCAACTTCCTTTGCCAAAATGCTTGGGGCAAAAGACCATGGAGGTCTATAATACCTTGAGAAATTCCCATTCATCTCAATGACAGTTGCTTGGTTGGCGCATCCAGCCTCGGACGTACGCAACCCGCATCCATCTTTGCTCATGGACACATTAAATTTTTCTTCTTTGAGCCAGTCAGGAAGGGAAATTACATCACAACAACACTGATTGGCTGATGCCACCAAAGAATGTGCACCGCTCCGCTAAGAACAACTCTAAAATTCCATCTACTAGTAATATACTGAGATTTTGTGTCCGTCAGTCTGCTAATTGCCACAATTTAGAAAAAAGGTTAACCAGGTAGACCATGAATTCTTCATTAAGACAGTAAACTAGCAACAGAAAAGTAACCACAATCAATTTTTAATCTTTTCAGGTGCTACTACAGGAACAGAACTTGGGCATCCACTACAAGTTCAATGTGCCGATCCAGCGTACAGGAAGTGGGGACAATGAAGTGGGCTTCTCCTGGCACCATCTGCCCTGGTCTGAGTGCTCAGCAACATGCGCAGGAGGTAAGACAATCAATCATTCACATGCTTACTAAGAAAATTTGTTGTACCTATTGATCATTAGCCATGTTTCCATCCAAAATTGGGAAATTAACTTATGTGCAAAGTTTCCATTCCATGTGTTCAAGAGAACAAAATTGTCACTTCCTTGGAAACAGGTGCAAAGTATTGATAATAAAACTGAAAGTTGTTGCATCCTGTGGCTCTTTTTTCACTAGGCCTACATAATAAATCAGGATGCCTGATGTTTGGGAATGCAGTCTTATAGGAGGTGATTATACTAAATAATTTTGATGACGGATTTTGACTCGGGCATTTAAAAATGGTTAATGACGTAACGTTTGAGATGGTGTTTGATTAGTTATCCAGTTAACCAATCAAAAAAGTCACATGACTTTTTTTGATGCGCATCAATGATTTTATTCAATAAATGTGTTCCCATTGTAGTTTACTCGCATGATAAACAATGATCAGACTCAATCGAGCGCAAGTTTTTTATGCACATGTTTTAAATGTATGTGCATCCTGGGGTTCCATCAAGTGTTTTTATGTGATATACCAACATTTACATAAAAATAGATGAAAATGTGAAAAATAAGTGGACAGACAAAAGTATGTTCTTGATAGTGTCCCTGCCAGGCTTCATAACTAGCTAAAAGGGATAGTTCACCAAAAATGAAAATTCTGTCAACAGTGAGTCCAACACAAAAGTGTGCATTTGGAATAATTTACTGGTCGTTCTTTTCTGTTCAGTTACAGTGAACAAGAACTGAGCCTTTGAGCTTGAAAAAGGCGAGTTGATGAGAGAAGCAGCAAAGTCTGATTCTTGAATAATTGATCTTTTAAATGAATCAGTTCATCCAGTTCACAAAACCATTTTGAATTGATTATAATTGATTATTCATTATGAATTAAACATATCTGCTTCATAATTATCAGCGAATACCAACTGAAATTTTGGTTTGGGCTACATTAATACTTTCATGGTGCTGTACTTTTATGTTCTTTTTGAATCAGGAAAGCTCCTTTTGCTTTGCTATGTCTTTTTTTGTGAACCGTATTGGACTGGAAATTAATTCTGGTGTTTTCAGCCGAGTCATCTTTTTTTATTAGTAATAAAATCCAATAGAATGATAAAATGTGTATTTTATCTGACATATGACTATATGGTCCATCAGTTTGTACTGCTAATGTACAAGTTATGCAGTGAACAGAAAGGCTGCCTCTTATTTCAAAATCTGAATGTCGTAACCACATGTAAATGTGAGCCCTCACCTCAAATATGACCAGACTGTTCAGGCTGCCCCGAAATAAATGGCTTTCTTACAACAATAAATAGTTTTCCTCTCTGCTTTTTTAAAGTGTGGCCATTCAAAACATTCAAAATACTTGTTATTTCACCAAAATATGCAAACATCGCAGGCTAGTCCACGGAGGGTTTTCTCCGGGCTCAGTGAACTCGACCTCATTTGTTGCTCAATTCATTTGAACACATTTTAGTTTATATGGAAATACCCCAGAGCAACACTTATGTCATTTGTGAAATTTTGTGTTATTAATTCAACTCACGGCTGTTCTGTTGGCAAGCCACACAGGGAGCATTTAAACATCGAGTGAACTGCCATAAAAATCTGCAATATTCTTTTAAAAATGATTCTTGATTCACACCGCTACAGATGCTTGGACTTGATTCCTGCTTTTCTACGAACTCCCATTAAATTTCAATGTTGCCGTCTTATTATTTTGATCGTTATGTGCAACAACACTGATAACGGTCTTACATCATGAACTGATGTCATGAGATTTTACATTTACCCCCTAGTTTGCTTTCAGCGAATCAAATCTCTTTTCTCGAAAGGGGTCATCGCACTCCCACTGGAGTATTTCATTATTTCGGTTACCCAGTCAAGAATGCCGTATTGGCAGCTATTAGATCCACCTCACAAGGTGGCCTTGCGCATTAGCCAAGCTTGGCATAAACCGGCTTAACTGGAGGCTAATGTCTTTCCTTATGGGCCCCAAAGAGCCCCTGCACCAATGGCTCCTAGCGCTGAGTATATAGCGTAGCGCACTATTCTGCCATTACTGTGGTAAGGCTCACTTTTCACAACCAAGAGCCAAAGAAAAGATTGGCTTCTCTGTAAAAGTCATTCACTAAGACACTCACTTCAACCGAGGCATTTACACACCTAGATATAATACTGAGGGAAAAATAATATGGCCTCCGTGCCACCATCCACACAGAGTGCTCTGCCAGCAAGTGGACCCCTAGAGAAGAGACAGAGAAGTAGTTTTGCCTCAGGGATCGACGCCGACCACACAGCGCCTTGTCTGCGAGCTGCTGAAGTGTCGAAAACGATCTCCCAGCTGAGAGCACAAGGCAGATGAATGAAGTGATGCTTTATTGTCTTTTTGCAGGCTCGCAGAAGCAGGAGGTGGTGTGTAAAAGACTGGACGACGGTTCTGTGGTCCAAAACAGCTACTGCGACCCAGACGGCAAACCGCCAGGGAACCAGCGACCTTGCAACACCGAGCCATGTCCTCCGGAGTGAGTATAGCAAATTTGAGGTTTAATTTGAATCTCAATCTGAAAATTTGTGATTCATATCAGGAAAAAGGCAAAAATGATATATTAAACAATTAAAGTACAGCCTGTTTATAACCATTACCACTACTGAAAAACAAAGAGAAAATATGATTAAAATGAGAAAATAATTTATTTTTTGCAATGGGACATTGTTCATGACTAAATTACTATAATTTGAAAAAAAAATTCTCATTCAGTCATTCTCATTTCGGTAATCTTTGGTGAAAAATAATCTGGACGATGATCGTTTTTATTATTATACTAGTATCAGTTAAATTCAGTATAATGAAAACTATCATCATACTTTCTTAAAATTGTACTTTAAAGGGATAGTTCACCCAAAAATGAAAATTCTGTCATTAATTAATTAATTATTTAATTATTCACCCTCATGTTGTTCCAAATCTGTAAGACCTTTGTTCATCTTCGGAACACAAATTAAGATATTTTTGATGAAATCTGAGAGCTTTCTGACCCTCCATAAACGGCAATGCAACGGAAATATTCCCATAAACAGAAACATAGTAAGGACTATGTTAAAATAGTCCATGTGTCATCAACTGTAATTTTTCGAAGCTACAAGAATACATCTTGTGTGCAAAGAAAACACAAATAATGACTTTATTCAACAATTCTCTTCTGCGTCACTGTCCTCCATCATTATCGAGAGTACCACAACGCATGAGCGTGCTGCTGCTGATGTAGAACACGCATGCGTTGATCCTTGCAATTCTGTCCACATTGAAAGTGAAAAATTCTGCACAACATGACAAAATTTCAACCAATCAGAAGATATTTGATGTAGAGTAATGAGTAGTGTAATTACGAACAAATGATATTTCACAAGAAGCAGGGCTACCCAGCATGACGCATCAAAATGTCCTGTCTCTTGTCACTTGTCATGGTCTCAGCTGGTTACGAGACTTAGATTTTAATGAAAAAGATTTATTGCATCACATCACGAGACTGTGTTACAGTATGCTACTGAGAAATAGGGTTTAACTGTAAAGAAATTCATCTCATAGTGTAGAAAAAAATCTTAATGGTTATAAAAACAAGCTTTATTTATTTATTACATACAAAATCAACTTTTATATATATAATTTTCTTTGAATACTGAGGTGAAATATATCTAATTTCCTAAACATGTGGCTTATACTCAAGGTTTTGCTCTCTTTGCCAGCCTAGGATGAATGAAATACAGAAATTGTATTCCGTTTTGATGAGCCTTATCAAAATAGCACATAGCTGCCCAGAAATAAAAAACGCAAAGTGCCACAACCCGTAATGTTTAATTTGTCTTTATAGCATCCCGGCCATAAAGAGCCTCTTTGAAGACAACTTAAAAACTAAGCAACATGATTTATTTCTTCATATGTTGCCTATTTTCATTTGGACTTTGGTGCCAAAATCCTAAAGGCGTCCAAAAAAAGTATGAGTGATCACCTGCGTTTAATTGTATTGGCTAGCAGAGTTTATGAACCCTCAAGGGACAATATCCATAAACGTGTGGAGTATGCGTGTGTGCGGCGGCCAGACGCACTTAGCGCTCGTTTTCAATGGGGCGAGCAGCTGAGCAAAGTTCACTTGTGTCTGCAAATTTTAAATTGGAAGGAGGAATTAAATGGTCTTGGCCTCTGCGCTCCTGCATCTTGCCAGTGGAGGGTTTAGTGAACCTGAACCCCAAGATGGGCATCGCTAATAACATAATCTAAAATCTATTTCCATCTCCACCTGATGTCAGAGGAATGCAGTCTCTGGCCCAGAAAGGGTTATGATGGTCATTCGAGAACACCCTGTTGTTTTTGGGGAGGTAATTCTCTCTAATGATCTTGCAGATAATGACAGAGTTTATTTCATTAATAATTTATGTCCAACTTTAATTTTATTTTACTTGTAGTGTTTCATAAGACACATCGTCCGTTGCTTTATCAGAGCATCACCAAGAGAATGCAAACAAACCGCACGGAACTTAATTCAGCCGTAACAAATGATAAAAAGTCAGACGTTTATATAAAAATGCCTGTATTCCACAGCCCAGCTAAAAGTGTAGAACTCATTTAGCCAAAAATGAAGACAAATTGAACGCAAATTTGGAATTGTTGTTGCCATTGTTCGCAAAGTACGCAACCCGTTGAACGTTAACAATGTGTATTTGCAGGGTCCAAAACTAAATGAGAGTGCAAATATGGTTTTGGCGAGTAAATAAAATGGCGTTTCAGGCCATTTATGTCAGAAGTTTGTTTTCCCGGTAATTCCAGACTGCCATGTGGCGAGACATTATTTGCGTTAAGCGCCTGAAAATAATATATAAAAATCAAAATCAAGATCTTGATGGTTTTATTCAAGGTTTGTATATGATGCTGAAAGTGTGGAACAGTCACTGCTAAGGAGAATCTATTTATTTATTACTATTTGTGATAAGGGCAACAAAAATATATTTTGATTAAATAATGCATATACAGTTCTGTGGTTGGTAATAAATATTTGTGGATGGAGAATTTTCTTTTTGTGAAAAAAGTCAGAAAGATGTTTTAATGTTTTTGTCTCTCAGGCTCATCAATGCTTCATTTATTTGATAAAAAATACAGTAAAATTGTAATATTGTGAAATAGTATTACAATTTACAATAACTGTTTTCTATTGTAATATATTTTAAAACGTAGTTTATTTCTGTGATCAAAGCTGTATTTTCAGCATCATTACTCCAGTCTTCAGTGTCACATGATCCTTCAGAAATCACTCTAATATGCTAATTTATAGTATTTTTAATATTTTTGTGGAAACCATGACTTTTTTTTTTTTAGGATTCTTTGATGAAAAGAAATATCAAAAGAACAATTTACTTGAAATTTCTTTCTTTTTTTGTAAAAAAGGCCTAAAATCTTATTGACCCCAAACTTTTTTTATATGCTATGCATATTTCACTAAATAAATATTTTATAATGCAGAATACAGTTCTGTGGTTGTTAGGAATTATTTATGGATGGAGATTTTCCATTTTTTGCATGAAAAAGTACATTTTGGACCCCATTTATTTGTGTTTTAGGTGGTTTATCGGTGTCTGGTCAGAATGTGGGAAGACCTGTGACGGAGGCGTCCGAACACGCATTGTTTTGTGTATCCGTAAAATCGGACCCGCCGAGGAGGAGACCCTGGAGGACAACCACTGTCTGACCCATCGGCCAATAGAACAAGAGTCCTGCAACAATCAGTCCTGTCCACCCCAGTGGGTGATGCTGGACTGGTCTGAGGTGACTTGATGTGTTTTTATGTATTTGTATTTCCTCTAGAATGCCTGGTAATCTTCTTGTTTTAATATTGTTGTGTTTTTGTTTATAGTGTACCCCAAAGTGTGGCCCTGGCTTCAAGCACCGCATAGTTCTATGTAAAAGTAGCGACCTGACCAAAACCTTCCCACCAGCCCTCTGTTCTGACCACAACAAACCCCCAGTCCGTATTCGCTGCAGCCTTGGTCGCTGTCCGCCGCCACGCTGGATCCCTGGAGAATGGGGACAGGTAATACAAGTTTACTCATCCACAGTTTTATTCATCCTGGTGAGGACAGTTTAACAGAACCAGAACTTGCAGATGGCCTAAAAGGTCCCAGGTTGCTTTTGGTCTATTTCTGTTCACTTTGAGTTCATCTGTATGCTAGGATTCTAATCTATATACAGTCTTGCTTTTCTGGGAAACTGAACCAAAACCATTGATGAGTCATTCATTTACTCAGGGACATACACAATCTCCCTCAGTTGAAATCGTGGTCCAGGGGCACCGAGATCGGACTGAAAGGGCACTTTAGCATCAGCAATTAAAGGGGCGAGGGGATTCGAGCCTCCAGAACCCGACTGTTGCGCTCTTTAGAATCAAGTACCATCCTACATTTTTCTCTGATTGAATATTGCTTCATTTAAAATTGGTTGTGAATACAGTTTCAAATTGACTGTAAAATGCAATCAAATTTAGGCTTGAATATACGTATTTCAGGTGTCATTATGATTTAGAATAAATAAAGAAAACAAAATACTCATAAATCCAAGGCACTCCAAGCCTTTTTCATTTTGGCTTTTTCATTTTTTCACACTACTCGAGTACCTTGGATTTATGAGTATTTTGATGATACAAAAGAATCCCGCATCCAAAGAGCACTGATTTATGTATCTTTACACCCCAGCAGCAGTTTTTTGCATCATTTTGAATGTAAAAAATTAAGGAAACAGTTTTGTCTTTACAGCAATTCCTGGTCTGAAAATGCAAAGGCTGAGTAAAGACTGTTTTAATACAGCGTGAAAAAGACCATGTGTTTAGTTAACGTCAACAGAATTTACACTCGCATGATAAACTAGTGTCTCTGGAAAGCCAGTGACGTGTGTTTCCGTGAGTGACAGTGAGTATAACAGCCCAAGAGTGTGTAGTGGTAATAATATCATCCAGATTGTTTGAAGTTTATCTCTGCAGTAGACAAGGTTTTCTGTCAATGCCAAGAATATGTTTTAAAAAAGACAAAACACATCACTCTCAGACAGATCCTGTGGTTTCTCTTTTTAAAATAATGTTACGATCATAATAACTGGTGGCATATAGTAAATCTTTTTAAAAATGCCACAAACAAAAGATAGACAGGTAGTATTCAATAAGGAAAAAAATGTAGGGCAGAATATGATCTTATCCTTCAGGAATTGATTTCTGCATTTTTCTTTGGTTCCCTCAAGATTTTTTTTGTTGGCTTTTGGATTCATTGGAGTACTGTATCACTAGAATATCACACTCCTCTCAGCCAATCAGATTCGAGGACCGGAAAGAACTGTTGAATATAATATAATATAATATAATATACATACATTTACATTTAGTCATTTAACAGACGCTTTTATCCAAAGCGACTTACAAATGAGAACAATGGAAGCAATCAAAATCAACAAAAGAGCAATAATATACAAGTGCTATAACAAATCTCAGTTAGCTTAACTTAATTAACTTTTATTCTCGCTGTAGTTTTGTTGTTGACTAGAGGGCACATAAGTCTGAAGTAATGAATTTAGGTAAAGGGGTGATATAAACCATCAATATTGGCTTCATGTAAAATTCTACACCACTTATAAGTGATAATGAAGGTTACAAAATCAACAATAATTTTATGATCTGAAAAATATATTAAACTAACAAAAGTCCAGAATTTTCCATCTACCTGAATGAAGCTACAACTACTGTAGTACAAGTTTCGCCATCCTATGATTCCTGCAGTGAACTGGGACTCTCATAATGGAGAGGCTGTTGAAGGGAGCCGTGGGCCAAAAGGTCACTGGTTCAAATCCCACTTAAGGCCCTCACTGACATATGCCGTCTGTCAGGGGCTCGCACTCTAATAAAGTCTGTTTAATTTAAAGGGGATGAAATGGGAAGGCTGCTGGAAACTCATCTGAGATGTCTGCACTCCCAGTCCCGTGAGGGGTCCTTCACTGTGGGTCTTACACGTGTTTATGACTAAATCCACATCAGATCCTTGTCTTGGCATGCAACGTCAGCGTTTCTGTGGCATTCACACTAGGCGCTACAGCAGAGCGACTAATGAGCGAAATTTGTGTGTTGTATTGGGTTGCAAGGCAACTCTTTGGTTTTTCCATTGAATCACTGAGCTACATCATGGTAAGAGACTACTGGAATACATCTCAGTTTCACTTCAGACAGACGCAATTTACTCCCTCCAGCAACGTCGAGACCTCTAATGTAGAACAGCTGACAGTAGTCAGAGATTCAATTAAACTATTACAATGACATTCCACAAGTAGCTCTCGCTCCTTAGTTTTGGAGCACTGATTTTGGGCCAGAATTCACAAGCGTGCCATAGACCGCCTGATACACACTGCACACAAACACGCCAAGTGCAGACTAAAATCACTTATACCAGTCTGATTGGTTTGGCTTCTACACAATGGACTCTATGCACACTACAATCTGAGTGCCAAACGAGTTTCCGATACAGAATTCTCCCATAGAAAACTGGTAGTAGCAAACTCTTTTTGTCATATTTCTAATAACTGTCGATCACAACTAACTATATCGTATATTATATATATATATATATATATATACTGTATAAGCAACTGTAGTGTATGCAACATTTTAGTAATGAGTTTTAAAACTTTAAATACTTTTAGTGTGAAGGTAGATCATATCAGTATTGCTTTGTCTTGTAACTTCCTCAAGATTTAATTTTGCGCTTATTTTTTCTCACAATTTCCATACACTGCACTGCACTGGAAGTTGCGGTGACCACTGAGTGCCACTAAATGTGGAAGCAATCATCTATAGAGTGCATTTATAGAAGTCAACATGTTTTTATAATTATAAGAAATAACCAGTTGCTAACTTTCCCTGTGGTTGTGGCATTGAGAGGTCAAGAGAGAGAGAGTTTTGTTTGCACTACTTGGTAGAAAGTAAGAGATATCCTTGAGCACACCTTAATATTCAACTTTATTTCAGAATTGAATTTGATTTCAGATTTGCTTGCCCCTAAATACTCTGTAAATCAAACTAACTGTTGTTGGTAACCATTGTTGAACCTCTTCCTGTTTAAGTCAATGGTTCTTGGCTAGAACAGGTTGCAAAGTGGACAAGACGTCCACTAGGTGAAGTCTAACTTAATTGGCTCATTATGGCAAAGTGGCTCGAAAGATATTAACCTTGGGTTTGCTTATTCATACATGTTGTCTCATATTTCAACTCAGATATGCTCTTCACTAATTGTTGTACCATTTCAAACAACTGATTTTATTATTGTATTAATTTATTAATAGAAATAGAAAGAGACAATAATGTAGAATGTTAATATCAGTATCTGTTGTAATATCTCTGCATCCCCAGTTATGACGTATGTACTGTATTAGAGGCTGTACTAAAGGCTCGCCATGTGTTTTTGCAGTGCTCTGCTCAATGTGGACTAGGGCAGCAGATGCGGATGGTTCAGTGTCTTTCATATACGGGACAGCCCTCCACCGAATGTCCAGAGTCACTACAGCCAAACACCATGCAGCAGTGTGAAAGCAAATGTGACGCTACACCCATCTCCGGTGGCGACGGTAAGTCAATCACTCTTCCGCTAATCCCGTGGCTTATGAGCATTTCATATGAGCTGCATCTGGCTTTGATCACAGTGTTGACATTTACAAAGTTTGTGGCCTCTGCGTTCAATTTTGATTTAACAAAGGATATATTGTTCTGTTCTTGCCTGTTATTAACTACCTCAGTTTGGAATCGAGACACTATTTAGGCGATCCTGGATTCAATAAAACTTCCATGACCCTCGCGAGATGGATCCCTATTCAGATTCCTTCACTGGGGAAGCAGCATTAGATTATCTCTCCTAATGGACCCTAATAGGATTAGTTGTATCCTAATCAACAGCAGTGACAGAATGTCTGCTTTCATTGTCGTCAGCCATGGCAGTTTAAAGAGCCTAATAAGGAAGACATATTAATTGAGGTAGGGCCAGTTAGCACCATCAGCACACTGCCACACTAATGCAGATGGCCGTCTGCCCGCGCCGTGAATCAGGTCGCTCTCTTTTTACACTTAGATGCTGTAATTACCATAAGAGGCTTGTGTCCAGGCCCTGAGTCATGGCCTCTTTTGAAGGAGAACTCAGAGTTTTGGCTTTGACACAAAGGAAGTCTATTAGCTTTCCAGTGCTGCAGGGTCATGCAAGATTCTGTCCCTGCCCTACAGAATCCCCCCTGGACCCGAAAATAACTTTTAATTGGTACTCTATACAGTGCCTGTTTAGAAATCCCACAGAATCACTTTTTCATGTAAATGTACATTTTTTTAGCACGTATTTGTTATGGTTTCCCCAACAGCATAGTGTCACATTTGCGATTTTAGAACAATTAGTGGAGGGACTATCAAGCTGCCAGATTCAATTCAGATTTCACACCTAATCACAGAAATACCCTTGCTAACCGACTGTCCTTCATATTCACTCAAACCTTGGGCCAAAGCGGGCCAGCGGGGGCTAGAGGAGTGGTTATGAACAAAGGCGGAGTTTCTCCGTGTCTGGAGAGCTTCAGCGCCGCGGATCATTTCATAAAGTTAACAGCTATAACACCAGCATTAAAGACTTAAAATAATTTTAGTTCAAAACTCACTTTCAGACAGCAGCGAGTGTTTGAAATAACTTGATCCGATGTGGATTATGATCACCATACAAGGCAGAAATATTTATAAGCGATGCAAAAGACTATGCACGCTAGCCATTAACGTTACCATAGTAAACATGGTAAATACGACCGCTTGAAGAAATCAGATGTCAGCTTCTTATTCTCTATCACAATCGTGTATTTATTTAGTAACATATTTTATCTGTCATAAGTCTCGTCTCGAGAGTTTAGCTCCACCTATGTCATAAAATATAATAATGGTTTTTGTTCGGGAGCTTTTATAAAAATATAGAAATTATCATTCTTTCTAAATGTGATGTATGTAACTGTGACTACAAATAAACAGACTCGACTAAACAAGTAGGTAGGCTATGTTCATACCACTTTATTTGTGTGTGACTAATTTTCAATCCTGATAAATTAATTCATTATGATCAATGCATCACTTATTATTGTAAAACATTGATGCTTTTTGTGCATCAAAGCTCCTCCATGGGACTCGAGACCGGTGAGTGGCGCAGGTGTCGCGCATTAGCATTTCCTCCACCGGCCTCGCT